AAAGAAGACAATTAAGACTGAGCAGAATATTGCTTTGTTTATTCTTTTGTTTGTTTTGGCCTAAAGAAAAAACAACCAGGTTCAGTATTCAGGTGCATTAGCAGCAGTATCTTAGTTCAGCCTTTTCCCCTGCCCTGCTTTGTTCACGAGAGCTTACTTGTTTCAAGCACCAAAAAAAAATGTTTCAGGTACATTCTCTGTCAACACTTCATGTTTTTTTACAGTAAATACATCTATGTGATGTGGAATTAGTTTACTCTTAGCCAGTCTAATGTCAGCACTAAGGTAAAAGAAAAGATGGTACTTGTTAACTGTTACTGGTTAAATATTTAATAATCATAGAACCATTTGGTTGGAAAAGTTCTTTAAGATGATCATGTCCAACTATAGCCTGCTCACTACTAGAATAATGTCACTTGCAACACTTCTGTAATAACTAGTTGCTTCAGTAGTATGCCTTACAGGTAGCTTTTGAAAACCATGGCTTTTGATTTTTGAAATTGCATGCATCTTCAGTAATACTTTGCAATGTAATCTTTCTGTCAATGATTCGAAATATTCAGAATATTGGGTTTCCCACGTATGTATACTAACATTTTATTACCTACATACAAGTTAAGCCCAGTAATGTGGTCCAGTGCCAACGTTCACCTTCTTTGCTTGTGTAACAGCAGTCAGAATGGTTTCTTGCCTCAGGTTAGTAATACTAATAGAAAAAGATCGGTTATAATGAATTCACAGGATTGTTGTTGGCTTGCACAGAATCCATAGCAACTTAGGTGTTACTTTAGTGTTATTTTTGGCTGTCACACTCATTACATGGTTGGAAGATAAGATCCCTTTAAAAAGTCTGGAATTAGAGATGAAACCTTATACGAACTTGAACCTGTTCTTATTTCTATAATTGAAAATGATACTGATTTAAAAAAAACAATCCACGTGTGGATTCAACCACTAGTTTTAGTGGGGTATGTATTATACTGTACATGTTACGAGTTAATTCAGCTTTTAAACTGGGTTTAGTCACTTTTTTGTATTCCTGTGAAATAGCCCATTTTTTCCCCTATTCTGCACTTCCGTCATCTTGCGTCGTTTCTCTCCACACAATTGGTATTTATTCCTCTGCATGAGTTTGGTCTCTCTTCCTGCCTGTTATGATCAGGTGATGGTGACCAAAGTATGAGAAGGGAGAGAAAACCTGAAAAGCACGTGAGTGCTTGACGTGGCGGTGCTGTGGTACGTGTCTTTGTGCTGTATCCAGTTTTGGTGTGTGTGCAGAGCTGCTGTTACTCTCATCAGAAAACAGCCTTCACCTTCTTACAGTTTTATTGGCATAACTTTTTCATTTGAAGTTCCCTGTGCAGGATATGTTTGTACACGGCCTGCGTTTGAGATGAGTTTTGGGGAATCTTTGGCGGAAGATATTTCCGTGTCTGCCTTCTAGGCAACATTTGATGTGTTTTGTTTGTCCATGAGTGCATATCTTTCACTGGGGAAAAAATACAATCGTACTGCATTGGAATGAGGACTTAAAATCTGATTGTGTCCTTTCTGTGAAGGATCAATCCTTTGCTTTCGTTGTTGTGATAGATCCTCATCGGATGTAGGCCTCAAGAGTTTGAAGTTAGATGGGAAGAATCCAGGCTTTTGTACATCTCTGTTTTGTAAGAAATGAATCAGAACAGGTGGGGAACTTCAGCATTAAGGTTTCTGTCTCTGTAGGCACCAACCAGATCAAACCTTTTTGGTTTTGATATTAAGAACAGATAGGGATTTTTGTTTTTACTCATTTGTCTGATATGCAGGCAGTTCAGTAATCTCCCTGCTCCAGTGAAAAACCTTAAAAAAACCCAAAACAAACGAAAACAAAAAAACCCCAATTATATTCCACCCTAGCTTCATTTGTAATACGTCAGTGAGGAATCTCTGGGAAACGTGTCAAGCTCTGTGTCAGTCCACGACAGTTTAAGCTTAACTTTGTGGAGAACAAAAATCTCGGGCAAATAAAATAAGGTTTTTATCATCCTTCAAAAGAAGTGAGTTAGGAATGAGTGAATACGTTTGAGTTCTTGTGAATTAGATCAGACTTCAGCAGTTGCCTGACTTTTTTTTTTTTTTTAATTTCCCTTTAGATTCTGGTTCTTTAAATTTGCAACAGCACTTGCAATTAGCGTTGGAGCTTTCTTCATACCAGAGGGACCGTTTACAACTGGTAAGGGAATATTGTCTTCCATTCCATTATGGTGCAGTCACAACTGTTTTTAAAACAAAACTAAGCACATGCTGATGTCTTACAGTTTTTATTGTGGCTGTGTAACTATAGCACTCATCTGTGTTTAGGGACATTAAGACAGGATGGTAAATTATCTGTGGTTCTGAACTGGTTTTGTTTTATTTCTCTTTTAGTGTGGTTTTATGTTGGTATGGCTGGAGCATTCTGCTTTATTCTGATTCAGCTGGTCTTGCTTATTGACTTTGCCCACTCCTGGAATGAATCTTGGGTAGAAAAAATGGAGGAAGGAAACTCAAGGTGCTGGTATGCAGGTAAAGGACTGTACCACAATCAGGTCTTACATTTCGTTGTACGTTATGTCAAATAAGTTACTCACTAAGTAGTGCATTTTACCAGGGTGCAGAAGGGCTGCTTTGTGCATGAGTATCATTTTCTCAGATGGCGCAGTTCAGCTCTGTTGCCTTGCTGTCCTTTTGATGTCACCTTAAATGCGAGGGGGCAGGGAGAGGGGCAGCAGCCTCTGAGTAATAAGATCTAAACTTTGGGAGCAGGGCATCATCAGTTTATGATAACAGGGCAGTGGCAATTGTAGGTTTCTGGGCGGTTTTCAGCCACAGGCTTCGTTACACCTTAGTGCTGATTAACAATGAACTAGGCTGCTGCTGCTTCGAGTTGAGCGGAAGCATCTCAAACAATTGTTTTTTCATTCTGTCTGCTGGTCAGTCATTCTTTGAAGGTATCTGCTGAGTGAAGGGCCAAGATAGTGAAGGAGAGTACAAGTCATCTCACTGGATAAATGATATATTAATTTTAATAAAGTGTTTCGGATGGGATAGTTTAGGTGTTTCAAAAGAGAACGCAGCTTGTCTTTGTGCAATGGCCACTTCACTCTTTAATGTTTTTAATAAGATGGAATTGTGAAATAACATTTTGTTTTTCCTTCTATTGGAGAAGTAGTTCTTCAGTTTCTTTTCTAAGCTTTTATCCAAAGTGTATGTAGTATAATTGTATTCCTTCATACTTGCTCTTCTTGGTTGCTGTTAGAGCACTGGAGAATCAAGTATGGCTTCCCATTTATTGTGTTCTTTCTTTTTAACACCTTAGAGTATTGAAAGGAACTTGTTTCCTTTACATTTCAGTGCCCAGAGCTGCTCTCTAATTCTGTCACTGCATACCATATCCAAAACCTGATAAAAATGCAATATTATTTTAGTTTTAATACTCTTCATTATTAACTATTTTACTGTTTTTGTCTCTCTTCACAGCTCTGCTGTCAGCTACAGCTGTCAATTATCTGCTGTCTCTAGTGGCCATTGTCTTGTTCTACGTTTATTACACTCATCCAGAAGGTTGTTCTGAAAACAAGACGTTCATCAGTGTTAATATGCTGCTGTGTATTGGTGCTTCTGTAATGTCAATTCTGCCCAAGATCCAGGTGTAGTTTTAATTCGTTATCTTTTTTTTTTTCCTGTATTATCAGTCCTGGAAACCTATAACACAACCATGTCTGAGATCTTTACCTGACTTTGCTATTTCTTGACTTCTTTGTATAGGAATCTCAGCCAAGGTCTGGTTTGCTGCAGTCTTCTGTGATCACAATTTATACAATGTATTTGACTTGGTCAGCTATGACCAATGAACCAGGTAAGTGCAGTAGCGATTTATGGCTTTCAGGGTAACCAGTTCAGCAGTAAATTTTATCTTCACCTTTTTGCAAGGCAATACTAGCATGGAGTACTATAACGCATGCAAGTTAGAGGCAGGACTAATTAGTTTGTGTTTTCTTCCCCCACCCCAACTTTCTGTAATAATACTGAAGAAATAGGTCTTTCAAAGTCTTCATGTTTTTCACTTGCTCTTATGTTTACTGTATGAAGGAATTTCTACCCATTTTTGGCAGGATTGTAGTATTCTAAAGCTTAGATTTTTCAGATTACCACAGCTCTTCCAAGGCATCTGGAAGGTTCATCTCCCTACTGGGTTTCTAGTTTCTTACCTGGTGACTGAAATGCTACTGATTATATTTTTCCTAACTGAGGATTTAAAAAAAAGTATTAATAAATGTTTTCAACATTTCTTGTGTTTGAAAACAACTGAGAAGCTTTTAAAAATATTTAAAAATCAGGCTTTCAGGTGATTAAAATAAACTGCCAAATACTGATTTTGGTGTTTTTAATTGGGTCTCTGGCACTTTTATCTTAATTATGGACAGTGTTCTATGCTTCTGTGTGACAGCATAGATATGAGTCATAGCTGATTCCTGCAGTAATTGTGGGGAAATAAGATTGCTACTTTTCAGCTGTTTCATCTGTGTTGTATCTGTGGATTGGAAACTGTGGTAATATGAAGCTGACTTTGTAGCATTCTTTTCCCACTCTTGAGATTACTCTGTAGACTGTATGGTTGTCAAACTTATTTTCTAGTGGTACAATTTCTAAAGCTTAATATGCAAAGCATTTTTATTCTGTTGCATCTAATTACACGAGATGAAACAGTAAAGCAGTTGATACATATCTGTTTAAAATCCTTTATTTGCTCAAAGAGACAGGTCTTTATGCCACATACTGTCATTTGCCTGCTTTAGAGAGACTCAATAGGCTAAAATTGGATTCAAAGCTTTTTTACTAAAAGACTGTCATGGTCACAAAGTTTCTTTCTATTCCCATAGCATTCAGTGTGGAAATGTACTATAAATATTTGTTCTGTTCTTGTTTTAATTAATTTCTAATCTAATTTCCCCTACAGATAGGCGCTGTAACCCAAGTTTGCTGAGCATCATCGGTTACAACAGCACAACCATTCCAACCCAGGGTCAGGTAGTTCAGTGGTGGGATGCACAAGGAATTGTAGGACTGGTTTTGTTTTTGCTGTGTGTTCTCTACTCAAGGTAAGATTCCTTCAAAAAAAAATCCTATTAACTTGTAATACTTCTCATTGTCAGATACTAAATTTGAGTAACGATACTGTGTCCTGTCCTGCCACATACAGCATCCGAACATCCAACAACAGCCAAGTGAACAAGCTGATGCTGACCAGCGATGAATCAACACTGATAGAGGATGGAATGCCCAGGAGTGACGGCTCCCTTGACGACGGAGATGATGTGCACCGAGCCATAGATAACGAGAGGGATGGAGTTACTTACAGTTACTCCTTCTTTCATTTCATGCTGTTCCTGGCATCGCTGTATATCATGATGACACTTACCAACTGGTACAGGTATTTACATTTGATAGTATGTTGTGCTAATGATGAGCATACAAGATGCTATTTTCTGCTGGACAAGGAGGTGTAAGTTGAGTGCGCTGTGAGGATTGTAGGTCCTGAGTGGGACTTCTCAAGGGAATTATACTGTTTGATCTACATTACATGAATTGTATTTGAAAATTGGAGTAGCCAGCCTTGTTCACAAGTGTTTTCTAGGATAATTCTTGTGATTCACTGGACTGCTGAAATATGTCCTGTTGAACAGGACAGAGTCTTAAATTTTATAACAACTAAAAATACATGAGCACCAGGCTTGTGTCTGGTACAGAGAGCTGGAAAAGGGAGAGGTAGGACATCTTTCATCAGCAGGTCAGGGAAGGTGATTCTTCCCATCTACTCTGCACTGGTGAGGCCACACCTGGAGTTCTGCATCCAGTTCTGGGCTCCCCAGTATGAGAGATGTGGACATACTGGAGAGAGTCCAGTGAAGGTCCACAAAGATCATTGTCACCTGAGGAAAGGCTGAGAGCTGTGACTGGTCAGCCTGGAGAAGGCTCAGGGGCATCTTATCAGTGTATATTCTCCTGAAGGGAGAGTGCAAAGAGGACAGAGCCAGGCTCTTTTCGGTGGTGCCCAGTGACAGAAATAGAGGCAGTGGGCACAAACTGAAACGCGGGAGGTTTCCTCTGAACATCAGGAAATGCTTTTTTAATGTGAGGGTGACCAACAACTGGCACAGGTTGCCCGGGGAGGTTGTGGAGTCTCCATCCTTTGGAGATACTCAAAAGCCCTCTGGCCATAGTCCAGCCTAGCTGGCTGTAGGTGTCCCTGCTTGAGCAGGGGACTGGACAAGATAACCTTCAGAGGTCCCTTCCAACCTCAGCCCTTTTGTGGCAGGGTCTGTAGCAGAAGGAAATTAGGTTGTCTGCTCTCTGAAAAAAATCCAGTAAAATAGTTCTCCTATGTGTTAATTGTTATTCAGGTAGTCTTTCTACTATGTATGTTTGGTAATATTACATTAACAGCTTGAGCAGATGTTCTTCAGAATTTAAAAAAAACTGGTCTCTAATACTTTGCTAAGGACAATTTGTACCAAAATAAGAAAACTAGAAAGGTGTTTTCTTCAAAAGTAACTTGTAATAGGTAGTCCTGCTGTGGATTTGATTTGTGGGTTGATACGACACCAAGATTATTAGTACTTCTAGGTGCTGTCTTTTGGCAAGGTAAAATGCATTATTTGTATATAATTGCTGTCCGATTCCTGCCTTTCCACAGATTTGCTTAGAAATACCTCGTAATTATTTCTGCCTTTGGCAGCTTCTCTTACTAAGTATTTTTTGGGCTGCTGTTGCTTTCCACCTTCCTGTGACACCAGCTTACAAATGGTGCTTTTGTACAGCTTGGTGTGAAGTGCCTGGAAGAAGGAGGGCAGAGAGGTCCTTTGAGGTCTGGAGCTGAGGTGAAAATGATCTACTGTGAAAACAGTGTTGCAGGGTGGCTTACTACACCAGTATGTAGTACTGAAACAAAAATTGCTTTTGTCTCTTCCTTCTTTCACAGTCCGGATTCCTCTTATGAGACAATGACCAGCAAATGGCCATCTGTCTGGGTGAAGATATCTTCCAGCTGGATTGGCATCGTGCTGTACGTGTGGACTCTGGTTGCTCCGCTGGTCCTTACGAACCGTGACTTTGACTAGGCTGTGCTGTTCTCTAGGGAGACTGCCTTTGCTTCACTGTGTCTTTGAAACAAACAGTATTCCCAATAATAGTGCAGTTGTAAATGCGTGTGCGTGCACGTCTGTGTGTATGTAGTATACCCTCCTTTATTCTGCATGATGACCTTGAATCATCTCTTGTCATGTCACTAAATGACTTTTTCTATCTGAGCTCAGTGACAGTTGCTATAATGATGGTTTTCATAGGATTACTCCTAGATCAAGTGCTTCGGGAGCATTGGATGCAAGATCAAGACCATTTGGAAGTAGGTTTTTTCTTTCGTCTCAGTTGCATTAAATAGTTGTAGGGAAGAAAGTGCAAGTGATAATTAGGGTAACAAAACAGTACTAGATCAGGCTTTGCAAGCAAAGGAGGGAACTGCCTTTGATCATCTCTGTTGCCTTGATTCCAAAGGAAGTCTTGAGTAAGCATTGAGACTCAAAATTGTGCTTGTTAGAGTTTAGTGGACATCTGGCAGCACTTTGGCACCAACAGCCTGACCTTTTCCTGTCCTGAGGGCAGCAATACCAATGTTAAATGGGGAAACTGGCACCTGAGGCTGCCGAGGAGCTGATGTCTTCCTTGGGTCTACTGTGTCCCATTGCAGACACTCTCTGGAAGAACATCCTGGTATTAGATGCTCAGCAGCATGCTTTTAAGGCACCTGTTTACAATATGCATCTATGTATTTTTTTTTATAAGTAGTTTAAGTGGAATAGCTGTGCTGTAATTTATTGCTGTTTTGTGTGCCGCTTTTGTTCTTGGCTAAGCTACAATCACAGAGTTTGCGAGGAGCCGAGTGGTGAAAACTGTAAGCCCTGTAGAGGATTTTTTTGAGTACTATGGTTAAAAAAGAGGAGGAAAAAGAGCACTGAAATGACAGTAACTAAAGGAGGCTTGCTTTAACTGAGGCTTCGATAAAAGCGTTTCTTAACGTATTTGGGGCTCTAAAATTTGAAATCTTTTAATGTATTAGGTGTTTTGCTGCTTGTCCATTGCCAGAGATGGACTTGAGCCTAGAACATGTAACTCTAGGCATGAGGTAAGACATTCATCTGTTTGATTAAAAAACTGTATAGTTCCTGTGCAGTTACCAAATCTTTAATGCTTTTGTGCTTGCTGCTTTGTTACTGAAGTATGTAAGCTGCATTATGTATATCTCTGTTACTTGCTACAACTTGAGACTTGAGCAGCCTGGCCCTAGAGCCTTCAGCAGATGTGGTGTTTATACTGTTACTTCCTGTTGCTAATTATTCTCTAAGCTTTTATTTTAATTCTGCATCTAAACACTGGCATTTACTGCAGAGTCAGTCAAACTTGAGATGGTAACGGAAGGATTAGTAAAGGCTTGTAATAATTTGGAGTATGTTGTTACCTTATTAATAAATAAATTTGGATGAATATGTCTGGTGACTTTGATGTCTCACACCACTGCCAGATGTGGATAGCGTGTGGGTTTGTTGTATTCTAGTCTTTTCTTCTGGGATGTTTTACAGCACTTACGATGTGAGAAGCAACAGCTGACAGTGCAGCCTCTGTGGGAGATCACAGTTACTCCCCTGTGTGGTTTTCTAGCAGTTCTTCTCTGTGCCCTTTGCGCATCTCTCTGAGAACACAAACACACTTCATACTTGTAACTGCACTCCTGTCATCTGCTGCTGCATTGTGTTGCATCTGTGTTTGTTACCTTTTGGTAAAACATCTGAACACTAGGTTTAATCCCGAGTCCTGTAACAAATAAATAGTCACTGAGTTAGATGATCAGACAGCAGTGTCTGGGCTCAGCTCTTTCTACACAGGGCTAGACTACTCCTTTAAAAAAAAAATAAAAAATTGAGTGCGTTGCCAGAATTGTGGAAGGTATTTTTCTTGTTTTATGTATGAAGTTACTAAAACCCAGTTTCTTCACTGGACATCTTGCACACTGGAGCTTCTGAGAAGTCCCAAGCTACAGCTTTGAATGCAGAGAGGAAAACTTTTACCTTCAGTTAGGGTTTAACAGACTGTTTATGTTTAATCAGGAGCTCAGGGTGAGGTTATTTAGTTATGTCACCTGCACCCTCACCTGGTGGTGTAGTAACCCCTCTGGCATTCAGCTATCTGTGTAGTACTACAGTCTGTAAACATGGAGGACTTCAGTAAAAGCAGCAATGGAAACACACCTTTGAGTAGGGGCAGAGTTCTTCCAGAAGAAGGCGCCATAGGGCTCTGCTATAGTTCTCAGTAACAAAACAGGAAACATTCTCCGGTGTGCTACTAAAGGAAAACAGTTTGCTGTATTAGGCATTTGTTCTGGAGGCAAGGAAACTCTTTTCCAGTAAATGTGCACAGAAGCAAACCTCACTGCACAGCTACTAAGGCGTGAAACATGCAGGCTGTTAAATCCATACCTGTCTAGCATACAGAATAAGGGATAACTCTTAACAAATATCACACTTAAGTAACATTTATTTTACCAGACTAGATGGTCCAAGTTAAAAGTACTCATGCAGTCAAGGGGCCTGGCGGCTGTAAAGAACTTTTCCCCAGTTTGTGCTGTGTATAAGCACTTCCACTGAAGTGAAAGTAAGGCAGAACCAAGATTTAGCAAGGTACAGGCACTTTGTTCCCAATTAAAGCAGGGAAAAAAAAAGCCTACATCAGGTCCTGGTCCCCCCCACCCCAAAAAAAGCCTCATGTTTGTAAAATAAAACACTGTAAAAAATAGAAAAAACCCAAAATACAGAAAGTCAGTGCTCCCTAACCATACACTACTAGTTTACATCATCATATGTATAAGAAATCATAAATCAAAGCTTCCTATTAACAAGTGTTCAGTTGCCTGGGCTATGCAGTGATTATGTATAATACCAAGTATTGGACAGCAGCACAGTAACAGTCTGACTTGGTATTGCCAACCGTGTCTAACAGCTTGTCTAACCATGTAGTTAAATGATTGCTTGTAAGAAGTAACATAGGAAAGGTATTTTAGATTCCACATTACCTGGTTACATAAAACAGTGATTTACAAAAAAACCTCGTATACCAAACAATATTCTAAATAAATAGTTCATCTTCATAACTATATACAGAGGTCCCATGACATCAGTTGTCCAAGAACGGCATGTCCGTGTCCATGGGTGCTGGAGCAAGTTCACATAGATAGAACAGCGTGGCTTCACTCGCCTCTGCCTCCGTCAGCGGCTCCAAAAAAAGCTCTGGGTGGGCGCGGGATCCAGGCTGCTCTCCAGGAGCTCGTCCACTTCCAGGGGTTTCTCAACAGAGGAAGAAGTTTCGGCTGTGGAGCTCCCACTCTCAGTAGCACAGCCTGGGTTCCCATCGAGGAATGCAAGGAGGGGAAACACAGTGTACTGTACCAGCTGTTTATCTAAGGGGGGAAAAAATTCCCAAAACATTATCAGTTGACATGCCTTTCTATCTGCAGAAGAGGCAAAAAACAACAACAAAAAAGTAAAATCTACCCCATACCCCACAGAATTTGTTTAAAGATTAATTAATAAAAAACCATGACAGCTATTTGTTTTAAATGAATGATTAAATAACTGTAACATTATTTATTCAGATTCTCCTGCAAAAATATCCATTTCCATATCCAGTGCCAAAAACCTAAAAAGCAAGTATTTTCTTGTGGTTATTTGCTTATTAGCATGACACAAAAACAGCCAAAGAGCAAACAGCCAAATGATTTTTAGAACAACACTTGTTTAACTGTTAAGTTGTTTCAACAAAACACTAAAACCAACCTGATGTGGGCTTAGAAACCTGTGTTTCCTGTGAAGCCTCTGGATCAGCATTATTCTTGGTAGTTTCTATTCCCTTTGTCTCCATCTGGAAACAAAAGCAGAATCTTAAACATACACTTAGTCTTTTCCAATGCCGCTAGAACACAGCTGACCAAGTATTAAAAAAAAATATTTGTGAAGGGATGCAGTGGTAGCAGGACCCATACTAACAGACCTTGGCTGAGAAAGTGTGAAATGGAAACAAGCAAGAACCAAAACCAACACCCATAAATGAAAATGACAAATCCAAGGAGCCAGATCTTTGCTTTACTGCTTCTTCTCGTGTTTCTTTTCCCACCAGACAACACAGATGAAAACATTCTGACAAAGTGTGTACCATGCCTGCATGGACTAAAATCTTAGAGGATACAAAAGTCAAAGGACTTGCACAGGTATTGGCCTCAAGGCAATGTGAGTTTTGAAGGACAGTATTAATCAGCGTGCTTTTTCCCTTTTCTGTTTGAAACCTAACAAACAGGATGAATTCAGCTGCAGCCTTCCTATTCTCATACATGTCTTGAAAGCCAGAGCATGAAAAAAGTGCTATGATGCCAGTAAAGAAAACAGAAAAGGATGAATACAGTTTGCATCTCTCACTACTGAGTACAGTGAGAAATGGATTTAAGACTTACTTTGGTATTAGTGATATGATCTGTGGGATTCATCTGCACGGAGCTTGTAAAAAGCTGAATAAGACAAAACACATCAAGTTTTAAGTATCTCGATGTTGCTATTAAGAATACAAGAATGTCACAACAGCGTGTGCAAGAATAATCCCTGTAGTTGATGCTTTCACCTTCTATCAGGATTAGAGTTTACTTACAGGGAGTTACCACTTCTGCAGAGAAAACAGCTTTGGAGCATAACAGTTTGGAATTCCATGAGCCTCAGTCACAAAAGAAACAACTCCCTTACATCTAACTTAGCCTAACATGTTTTCCTGCAGTCTTAAAATACCAACTCCTTCTTATGTTGGTGCACGGAGAATTCTGCATACAGTAAGGAAAAACACACCCTGACAAGTTTGCACATAACACAAAACTGGAAGGGTTCATCAGTATGTGGGAGAGCAGAGCTGCTGTTAAGAGGGATCTCAGCAAGGTGGAAGAGGGGCCAACAGGCACACCATCACAGCCAAATACATTCAAGACACAATAACCTCATGCACTGGCCCGGGTTAGGGACCAAACAGACTGAGAGCAGCTCCTCAGAGAGGGACCTGGAAGTCGTCGTAGATAACACCCTGCCATAAGCCAGCAGCAGGGCCTTGCTACAGAGAGCCATGCTCTGCTGCAGGCAAAGCACAGTCAGGAGGTAGGTGGAAGCAATCACTTCTCTCTACAGAGCACCTGAGGCCACTTGTGGAAAAGTGTCCAGTTTCAGGCCTCCCAGTATGAGAATTTTCAAACTAGAGGGCGTGTCTGGAGGGCCACAGATCGTTGGGGCATGACACATGCAAGAGGCTGAGGGAGCGTGGCTTATCTACTCTGGCAG